CCTCCTCATCATCATCATCATCATCATCATCTCGACAATGACATGCCCAGGATAGATGAAGTGATAAAAAAGAATTAAAATTTTTTCTCCGCGTTTGACGTATCTGCCCAAAAGTTGATGGTGATGATGATGATGACAATGAGGATGATGATGATGACAATGAGGATGATGATGATGACAATGAGGATGATGATGATGACAATGAGGATGATGATGACGACGACGGTGATAGCAATGAAGACTATTAAATATAATGACAGCCATAATTACCTTTTTTTTAATAGCGACGATGTTGTTGTTGTTGTTATTATTATTATCATTATAATAATTTTATATAACTCTACATAACTCTTTATAACTATATAAAACTCAATATAACTCTATATCACTCTATTTAACCTTATATAACTAAATATTTTTAAAATACAAGTTTTAACTCTGCTGCTCCTCTACTTGCTCATGCTCCTTTCTTTTCTCATATATCTCCACATTTTGTTCTCTTGCACTAGCTACCTATAAAATATAGAATTATTTTTAAAATTTGCACTTAATGCATAAGTCTCAATTTAAATTGTTTTTAAGTACTTATCAGATATATTAATTGAACCTGAATATTAATTGCCCTGGTTTACGATCGTCTTTTTTGTTCTCTTTTATTGTTAACCCTTGTTAAACATTTTTTTGCTAAATCTGCATTTTCTTTCTCGGGAACTCTCTAGCTCCTTCTCTGACTTACGATGTTCAGAGCGGATCTCAAGTCTGGAGGTGAGCACGGAAACGCCCGTGCCAGAGTAAATTGGCATTTTTTAAAAAATTTTGTGCTTTTTTGTCATGAATGGGAATTCGGGAGAGAATCGGGGATGAGAAAAAATATGGGTGGGAGTTGGGAACGAATTTCAATTCCTACTCACCTCCACTGAGAAGAACAATAATAAACAATGAAATCTCCAAAAACAACAATAATAATAACATAACGGTCTCAGTGAATTGATGTACTGAATAATTCAGGTCGCCTCATGAATATTCAAATGACATCGTCATCATCATCGTCATCATCAGAGACTGCCATTGTAGAAATTATTATAATGGTGATGACGACGATGATGGTGACGATGGTGATGAGGATGATGATGGCATCTAAATAGAGTTGGTTGGTTGCATTGGAAATGGAAAAATATTTCCATTGTTTCCTGCTATTATGTGAATTATAAGTGTTTGGCGTTCGTGATGGTGACGACGACGACGATGACGATAAAAATCACAATAATAATAATGATGATAATGATTATAATAATAGTAGTAGTAGTAGTAATAATAATAATAATATAAATAATAATATATTTTTCCTTTATTTTCTAATCACATTCATACCATTTTTATTATCATCAACGTCGTCACCATCATCAGCATTATCATCTTTATCATCTTCTTCTTCATCATTATTGATCTAGTAGTAGTAGTTGTAGGAATAGTAATGGTAGTAGTAGTAGTTGTAGTAGTAGTAGTAGTAGTATTTTTGTTAGCAGAAGGCAGCACTTGCATATTACTGAGGTTTTCGTATGTTCATCCATTTATCCGTTAATTTATTTATTCATTCATTTATTCATTCTTTTATTCATTCATTCATTCATTCATTCATACATACATACATGCATGCATGCATACATACAATTTCGATGCAATTGATTTTATTTTAATTTAATTTAGCTTTTTTTTTGAATTCGCAGATTGAAGATGCCATGCTCATGTTTGACAAAGTAACGCAACGCCATAGAGGTATTTGTGTGTGTTTGTTTGTTAGTCTATCTGTCATTCTGTCTGTCTCGTTGTTTATGTTTATGTATGTGTTTGCATGAATGTTTGTTTATTTATTTTTTATAAATCAAATCAAATCTATCGTGTGAATGTTTGTTTGTATTTATTTTTGTTGGTTTGTTTTTTTGGGGCTATTTAATTTTAGATGAACTAATTTTTTTTTTGCAAAAATATCAAATCATATTACGCTAAATGATGTCTGATTGTTTGTGTGTCTGTTTGTTTGTTTACGTGTTTGTTTGTATGTTTGTTGGTGTGTGTTTGCTTGTTTGTGTGTGTGTGTTGGTGTGTGTCATTTAACTTGTAATGAATTAGTTGTTTTTGCAATTTTTCACTCTTTCATTTTCAATGTCTTACTGGCTATTGCATCACGCACAAGCCAACCAACCGACCGACCAACCCAGCCAGACGAGTGACAAATAAATTGACACCTCTGCCGTTTCCATACAATCGATGCGAATAATTTCTAGCGTTTATGTTTTTGTGTTTGTTTGTTCATGTGTGTGTGTTTGTGTGTATTTGTGTGTATGTGTTTGTTTATTTACTTATTTACATACAAACCAACAAACACATATGCATGTATAGATTCATCTCGTGTATTTGTATCATA